TCTTGCTTCCTCCTGTCAAGGGCCCGCTGCCCAAGCGTTTCAGCCTGGGCGCGAGAGGAGATGCCGAAAAGCGCAAGGCCTTGGATGAGGTCGTCACCGACCCGCCCAACAGCTCCGAGGCCGAACTTCGAGGCCAAGAAGATGCGATAATCGTCGGAGAGCGAGCTCGCCACTCCGACTCGACACGCCTTGCGGGGCTGGTGCTTGCCAAGCAAAGTTCAATTCAACTGCCTCTGGCGGCCATGGGAATGGGACCCGAGACAATCCGATGCGAGAGCACTTCGACCCCAGGACCTCCCAGGATGGCTGTTGGATCCACAAGTAGTGCAAAAAAACACGGGGCCGAGGGGAACCCCAGTAGAAGCTTTTGGGCTTCGATGCTGGCCTTCCAGGGCCTGAGGAGGGCCTACGCCTCTTCCCCGGAGGCGGTGTGGGCAATTACGTAGGGCAAAGGCCCGAACTTACCCTATCGCGCTCCGCTGCCGCCTCGGCCCCGTCCGGGGAGACGCCAGCATCCTGCACCGCATTGCAAGCCATAGAGGCCCCTCATCCGACGACGGACGACACTCCGGCCGCCCCCGCCACCACCCCGATCATCTCCGAGGACATCAGGCGGCAATTGAAACGAGCCGAGGTCCACATCGCGAAGCCAATCTAACGGGACATGGTCGAACACACCAGCGTCCGAAGTCATGGCCTCCTGACGAGCCGAGAAGCGAGCCACCTGCCCAGCAATCTCATGGCAGCCGATGATGATGATGATGAGACGATCGGCGAGATCTTTGCGATACAGCTCGGCCCCACGGCGCGCATACACATCAGGCAAGGAGGAAGAGGTGGAGGAGGAGGAGGAGGAGGAGGAGGAGAAAGAAGACCCTTCCTTCTCCTCCTCCCAGCGAGAGAGAAGAACGTGCAGTTCTTGCTCTCCCAATGGTCATCACACGTGGTGCCTTATGAGTTTCCCCCCCCCCCCTGACGCGCTCCGTGTCCCCGCCTCGTCTCCTGCGGGCTCTCCCGCGGGCTCTCCTGTCCGGGCTTCTTCTTTGGGGTCGGAGCAGATGGGGTCGGAGGATCATCGCGCCGCATTGCCGATGCATCGGCGATGCGGCTCGATGTGGAGCCCGATTTTCTCCACGCCAGCGTCGCCGATGCACCGCCGACGTCGCCGATGCATCAGCGATGCACTGCCATGCATCGACGATGCGGCGCGATCCTCCGCCCCGTCTCCTGCGGACCCTCCCTCTTCGTGGGCGACAAACATACGTATCGGTATCCACGGCCTCGCGGGCTGGGCCCCTGGGCCGCGACCCCGCGGATACGAGGTGTTTTTGCGCGGATGCCCCGCGCAGAACGTATCCGTGCGACCGCGTATCCGCGGGATCCCCCCCCGGAGTCCAGACAGCGAGGGCGTGGGTATGGACGCGTTCGCTGCTCGTGATCTTTCTCTCCCAAGCTCTCTCCCCAGACCTCCAGCACACTGAGCAAGTCAATATGGACGCTTTTCGCCGTTGGCGGCCCCAGGCGTTTTGCCCGCAGCGACAGGCGGCAGTTGGAAGAAGAGGAGAAGGATGAGGGAGGAAGATCCGTAGCAATTTTGGTTAATGTTCGAAACCTGTGTCGTGGGGTTCCGAGCTAAGGTTTCCGCCGCTGTGCGACAAACATTGAGGGTCCGCCCGGCGCCGTTTACACCCCTGTCGGGGACGAGTTTTGCACCAGGCAAAGGAGTTGTTCTGGCTCGCGTTATGTCTGGTGGGAAGGATGCTTGTTCCTGTAGGTGCAAAGAGGCCATTCTGGAGATGCGTCAACTGTCACAGGAAGGGAAGCTGGGCGTCTCGGATCAAATGTGCATGTGGGGGTGCAGCGCCGCCCGAGATCGTCAAGACAGCCAAGGAAACGCATGAGAAGATTGCGACAGGAGGCGGTCAGAAAGATCTGATACCTCAGGGAAGGCATGAGGCAGGAGGGGAAGGAGCAAGGAGGAAAGAGGAGTGACGCGGGGCGCTGTCTGTTTCAATGGGACCCAACCATCGGACCCACCACGGGATTGTTGGGAACCAAGTATGCCATGCATCGCCCCGAACGTGCGCCGCTTCTAAAACCCTGCTCAAATACTCTGAGCTGTATGGAAGGCGAGAGAGTTGGCGCTACTCTGACTAAGCACCCATAGAGTTGCAGCTCCAGCGCAAAAGCAACCAGAGGGACCCCCAACCTATCCCATTGTATCCAGTTGGATATTCTGGGAATATCTAACAGCCACTTGGGTACGTGCAAGGCCCATCTTGCTATAGTTTTCGGGCTCCAGCACACGCAGGAAGGCCTTGCGCGAGGCTAAATCACCTACAAACTGCAGCGCCATACTCGGGGTTGGTGTCCATGGTCGATTGTTTTGTGATATTGTCTTGGGCCAAGGAATAATGCCGACACACGCCGACACAACATCGCCATAACACCACGACACGATCACCGCCCTCCTTTTCAGGAATGAGTGTTCCTACAGCTA